GAACTGGGGAATTCCAAATCTGCGCGAACACTGCCTTTAATCATAATGTGGTCAGTAATGCAACATCAAAATTTCTCTTGCAAAGAAAGCTGACGCACTACTGGGCATGATTCTAGCTCCACACATGTGAGGACAGTATCGACCTTCCGATTAGCATGCAAGCAATAATGGCGCAATCGCAAATAGCGGAGAGGCATAGGCAATGCTCTTCATCACTGTCGATACTACTGCCACCCTGTCTGTCATCATCATTACGTGTCCACTGCATTCCTACGAATCAATTATCCCGAATGTTTTGGAATTGAAAAAACACTCAGTGCTGAGCAAAGCCGGAAATCGATTTCAAAGTCGTACCCAACAAACCTAACTGGCAAATGAGAGATGGGAATAGGGGAATTACCAAGATAGAAGGATGTGAGTGAGAAAAGAGGTCCACATAACGAAAACCAAGAGGCGTACTCACTGACTACATCGAGAACAATGATGAGGCGCTCTGACTGATGCACAGCGGCACATGAATGTACACAAAATGTTCTCTCGGCTCCGCCCCTTCACTGTGCACGTGGAATGAGAAACTAACCTGTCTGACTCGACCTTATGCCACTCGCTTTGTGAGTTGTCAGCCATTTCACCAAGGAACTCGTTCAAGTTAATGGCGCCATCCTTATTCAGATCCTTCTCCTTCATTGTTACCTTAAATGAAGCCAATGTCAGGAAGAGCAACAAGGAGGTCATGCTGCCTCACGTAGCTGACAAATAACATAATGAAATAACGAATCTGTTAAAGTTTTGGCATTATTTTCTAGCCTGTGTGAGAAAGAAACACTCAAGCGCTGCTATTAGCGCTATTACTAATGCGCAGACATTGGACTGTTATCAATTCGTTATCAGTGCGCAGGGCCGATGGCGGCGGCTAACAGAAAGGAATCAATAACCCACATCAACGAGTATCTTGTGCATGTGTGCGTAGTTTTCTGGATTCAGAAAAGCGCTTAGTTCTTCTTTGTTAAGCTTTCCGTCCTTATCCACGTCCGCTGCTGGAAAAAAA